TGGGGGTGGAGGGATGACAATGATGATAAATACAGCACAAACACAACAGAGTGGGGCTCAGCCTCTTCTGATGCAGCTGTAACACAGATGGAACTTAAATGCTCTATGAAATCCATACATGACTCCACTTGAACAAGGATTCCAGGCCAGGCAAATCACAGAGACAGAGAGCTGAAAAGAGGCTGTGAGGGGTGACCAGGAGAGTTACTGCCTGAGAGTAGGTTACAAGGATCATAGAAAGGTTTGGATGGACATACAGATTCTGAATACATTTGCTATCATTGGATTATTCACTTACAAATTGTTAAAAGTGTAGATTTGTATATTTTACCATAATTAAAAAAACCAAAACAACAACAACAACAAAAAACAAACAACTTGAGAGAAAGTGTAGGTGCTACATACCTGTAATCCCAGCACTTTGGAGGCCGAGACAGAGAGTTTAGGGCTTGGGTTCAGCCTGGGCTACAGTGATACCTGTCTCTTCAAAACAATGTGTGTGTGGGAGCATGTTACACATTTTAAAAGATAGGAAATTAGAAGCTCAAATGTCAGCAGCTGTTATTTTAAGAGAAAAGTCTTTACGTAGTCCTTCTTTTCAACTACTTCTTTGAATTTTCAAAATTGAAACTTCATGTAGAGAAGAAGTTTTGTCTTAAACATTTTTCAGCTTTTGCCTATAGTGGGGTCCACCGTTCCACATTTTTCTTCCTAAACAGAGATGTCCTCACATTTGCTTTACAAGGACAGCAAAGGGAAGGAAATGACCGCTGAAAATGATGTAGACGTGTTGTTGAAAACTCAGCCTGGCACACCACTCTCAGCCTGGCACACCACTCTCAGCCTGGCACACCACTCTCAGCCTGGCACACCACTCCAGGACTCCACCACCCACAAGCAACAACCCTGCCTCTGCAGCCGGGCTGCTGGGTGTGGAAGGAGAAGGACTCAGACACCATTCTGACGACAATTTCCTCTGGCAATATGATAAAGTTCATAATCTGACCTTCAGACAATACATTAAATCAGGAAGCATGATTTACAAACAAGTGAGACTCTCCTCTCACTTGACTGTCAGAGCTGCAAGGGTTTCAGAAGTGTTCTCGGGCTCCTGAAGGCCTGTCCGTGAAGTACGTGAGCTGACACTGTTAGGGTTTATGCAGAACTCCAAAAGATGCACGCTTCCCTTTCTGACAAGTAAATAAAATGGCAGGGAGATCAAATAACTCACTAAAAAGAAGATATAATTTTTTATCTTCCTTTTTACAGTCTCATATCCACTTCCGTTAGGAATAACGAAGTCTGAATTCTTATGCAACACTTATCTAAATGTGTCGATTTTATCAGATTGATGAATTTTGCTAACAAAAGGCAGTGCAAGGAAATCTTTTATGACATATATGGCCCATTCACAGGGCTGAAGCTTTAATTTAACCAACTTGAGCATTCTGAGGGAGAGCTGCAGGTGTTGAATCGGGGGAAAAAATCATAAATGGGAAGGCATATCAATCTTTATGACAGGGAAACAAAAAACACTCTCTACTTGCTTGCCCTCCACAGGCTGGAGAAGGAGAGGCACAGGGAGAGGATATTGTCTCGGGCAGCATAGCAGAGAGGAGGCAGTCCTGTCTCCCAGTGACGGCTCTTCAGAACTGACCAAAAGGGATGACCACAGAAGAAGAGAGAGCCATTGAACAATGAAGCTCGCCGGCTCTGTGTGCTCAACAAGGACACTAACTCATTTTCTTGGCCACATCAGAATCAGTAAGAGCAAACAGGTGGCTTATAGCCCTGGGGTCTCCACCTCTCAATTCCTGACTCTACCCATAGCTCTGATACCTTGCTGCCCCGACTGCAATCAGAGGCCACTGGGATCTCCTATATCTCCCTCCTCCCTCCTGCATGACCTCAACCACAGACACCTCTTTTCTCCCTGGAGGGAAAAGCCTACAACCCACTGACCCATCTCCTCTTTCTTCTCCTTGGGGCACCTGATTCCACCAACCAGGCCAGCTTTGCCTTGTAGCCAGTGATGGCCTGATGTAAAACCTCATTTGATTACTCCTTGCTCAGAGTTCCTTAGGAGCATAGCAACTCTCTTTCACAAGATAAAGCTGCAAATGCGCTGGCTGCCAGCGGCAGCTGTCACCTGTCTGCAGTTACCCATTTGCAAAGCTCTATGATTTTCGTTCTGAGTTGAGAGTGGAGCTGTAGAGAAACAGGTGGTTGGAGAACATGACATCCAGGCTCCAGTGCTGAGGCCTGGCCATGATAAGGGAAGGACTGAGTTCTCATGGAGCAACACTGAGAGGCCCAGGACTTGAAAGCTCACACATCTGAGCGTTAAAGAGCAGCACCTGTTCCTGGCCCTCAGCACACACACAGAGGCATGTACCATAGCTCAGAAGTAACAGAATGAAGACTGCTCGCCAGAGACCAGCCTCCACCTAAGCCTCCCCACAAGTGAAGGTACCCCCATTTCCTTATGCTTCAGTACTTTCTGGAAGTAAACAGCATGTTAGCTTTGAGCCAGCTTCATGCAGCCACAGCTGGGTTAACAGGCAGCACTCCACTCAGCAGGATGTGAGGCTGACCTGTCTGCCCAGAGTGTTAAAATGAGAAGCCACCTTACACATGAACTGTCATTAGCAAACCTACTTGGTGTTCTCAAGGGTCTTCTGCATTTTCTTGGTCATTTTGTCGATTGCTGCCTGCCTCTTCCCTTCTGCTAACAGGTCTATCTTGTTCAGCACCACAACCAGCTTCTGGCAGGCGATCTGGCCAATCACAAGGCACTCAGCGGACTGTGTCTGCATTCCCTTGGTCACATCAATCACGAGCATCATTAGATCAATGATCTGGGCACCTGGGGCAATAAAAGGTAGGTTAGGAGAAGAGGTGGCTTAGTGAGCCTCCCAGGAAGTCATCATACCCAGCCCCACAGAGCACTGCAATAGTGGGCAGTTGGGGAGGAAGGCTGGATACTTCCTAGTCAGTCCAAGTGAGTATACTGACTGGTATAGCCTCATCAAGCCACAGGAGCACCGGGAGAGGTGAGCAAGCTGAGGGTCTTCTCAGGGCCCCATGGCAGTGCACAGTACCAAAGCCCCCACCTCTCTGCTGCACTATTGCTCACTGCTCACATTTTTATTTCACTCAACAAGGGGAGATGTTGAGCAGGGAACCTCAAATACCTAGCTACCTGCCCTTGAGGGGTAAGAGATGGGGAGCACTTCCTCCCAGAATACCTGGGTTGCCTACACTAACTGCCTTAAGACTGGTGCTCACCATCTACTAACTTTGGTGCTACGCTCTGCTTATGGAGCTTCTGCTCGTTCTAAGTTGTTGGCGAACACAGACCTGCTGTATGCACAGCTGGTTATGTACACATGTATAGCATGCCTGAGTAGAACAACAGCAGGTGCTCATATGACAGGGCAGGCAGTGAAGAGAAAGAAGCAGCCACTATGTTAGAAGCACAGGTGTTAAGAAGCAGGGTGAGCACACCCTTTGTAAGGAAGGGGACATGGAGGATTTAAAGTTATTCAAGTCAATATTTTAGAAATATAAACATTTATATTTATGAATAATATTTAGTTATCATTTCAATAACTTAGAAGGAAAAAAGTATGAGTTAGGGAAAGCAGGAAAACGACATGTCCCCCTCTGAAATGAACAGTAATTACATCTTCAGTTTACAAGACCTCCTTCTAAGGACTTCAGGACCACACCATGATCACTAGCAAGTCTGACGATGCTGTTCTGAAAGTGAGTCTGACGACCAACCCCACCTACTACTGTGGGAGAGGGAGGCCTGGAAAAGACCTCTGTCCGTGGTTGCCACACCAGCAATGAGTGCTAGGGTTCTATGCTGTATCCTCATCATCCTGTTTCAGATGCATAAAGGCTCAGAACATGGCAGTACATGCTCTAAGTTACATGGCCACCTGGCACCAAAGGGAACTACTGTGTTTGCTGCTCTCTGAGGCCTCCTAGTCAGTGCTAGCTGAAGCTCTGGCCCCAAGGAGCAACAGTGTGCCCGAGTGTAGGCAGGCTTGACATGGCCCAGCCTCGGCTTCTATTTGCCGGGCCAGGCAAGGATCCAATGCAGTTAGAAGGACAGATGCATGCAGCAGCATTCCTTGTTTAAGTCACTGGATGGTAGGTAGTACCCCAGATCTCAGCTACAGCTGTGAGAGGGACACTGGCTATCCCATGTCTATGAACAGGATGTATTTCTACAACCCAACAGCTTTTCACAGAATGGAGGTAACAGCCTCCCACTATGTAATGGATACCAACTAGCCTCTGCTAACCATCTCCAGTCCAGTTCAAGCCAGTTGTTCTCTAGCGACGCAGCCTCAGACTGGCCCTCCACAATCCATCTTCTAGTGTCCCCCCAAAGAACATGCTAAAAATACATAACTGATTCACACTGCTGGAGACCTTTAGAGTGGTATGTAAATATCTTGGAGACAGTTACCAAAATGTATATAATTGGAACTGGAGAGATTGTCCTGCAGTTAAGAATACTGGCTGCTCTTACTGAGGATCAGGGTTTGATTCCCAGCAACCAAATGATGGCTCCCAACTGTCTATAGCTCCGGTTCCACGGGGTCTAATGCCCTCTTCTGGCCTCCAAGGGTGGACACATGGTGTACAGACATACATGCAGGGTAAACACCAACATATAAAATAAAATGGAAGGAAAATGCATATAATCTTTGACCCAGCCAAGCTTGTAAAAGCATAGGACAAACTTGCAACATCTATTGTTATTGAAGTTGGAGACCATGTAAATGTCACCAGTGGGAAACAAGCTTAAAAACAGATAGTTATACCATGAAATAGAATAGTACACAGTCACTGCAAAGAGCAAAGGATCCTTTTACTACTGTAAAACAGTCTGCAGTAGGGGAGAAACATAGGACAGAATAACATGTGTTGTAGCCAGTGTAAAAGATTATGCATGCCCCTATACGCACTGCAGATGAATAAGCATTTGCCTCTACACACACGAAATATCTGATAGAATATAGAAAAATGGAGAAAAAAAGAGTGGTAGGAATCCATTCTGTTTCTTTCTATTTCAAATGGGTGTGTAAGAGATCTAGTAGTATTTTAAGTACTTAAATCAAAGAGTGAAACAGACCTGGCAGAGTTGCTGTCCTATTAAAAGACCCCATTGCCCTCATAAAGCACAAGCTTCCCAATATGGCCTCCAATCTTCCTTCTTTTTAACCACTGGTAGCTACCACAGGCCACACAAACTTTGCCCCCTGGTTGCATGGTGCTCCCTTGTCTCCCATGAGATAAGCCTGAGCCCATCACACCAATAAGAGGCACCTAACCATCTATCAATGTTCCCAAACATAGTAGGCCTTGGGCCTGGTTCCAGGACCATGGAATTAGTTCTGTAGCCACTAGAGGAACTAAAGCCTATAGGCAATCCATGAAGAGGGCATGTGTCATGTCCTGGGCACCTATCTTTGCACAGACTTAGAGCAGAACAGCCCAGCACTTGGCCCTGAAGATCTCTGGCTTAGGGCTAATTCCAACTGTCCGGGTTCTCTCAGAACTTCGGTCCCAAGAACTTCATAAATGAGGAAAACCGGACTTTGGAGAAGCAGAATGAGTATCTGTGTTATATACTGAATGCCCAGAGTAGACATCCGAACACCTATGCCTGAGCTCTCACCCACTGTGCTACACAGTCAGTCGGTTCCCATGGGGACATGAGGCCCAACAAATCCCCATTCTTAGTTCCTACCCAGGCCCCACTTGAGAACTGAGGTGCCCCTGTATTGATGCTCACCTGTGCCTGCCTGGGCACTCTGTCCAGGACACTTGCTCCAGCCTTATTGCCCATAGTTCTGGTCCACCTCACCCCAGGCTGAGTTCTCACCTGAAGACTTGTCTTTCAATATTTATGCAAAACACAAAACCCAGCTTAGGCACAATTAAATAAGCCCTTGTTGAGTGAACTGAGCAATGTTAGCTCCCCCACCTCCTCCACTATGTTGACTAGGAGTCTGTTCTTTCTCTCAAAATCTAATTTCCAAACTACATATAACTACCCAGAGCCTCACTTGCCTGGCTGGTAGAGAGAGACCAGCTTATGAGCTCCACACATCAGGCCCTCCCTCATGCTGGGATTTTGGCGATGGAAAAACAAAACTGACCATGACACCTAGCTGCTAGTGCAGCCAGGACCCAAGTACCAGGAGCCAGCAAAGCTTCATCTGCAGTCTTATCTGGCATCCACAAATGGTCTTTGTTGCAGCAAGCACACAGCTCTGCTCCAGGAGATCCTCTGCAGCATGGCCAGTACTGGGAACTTCTAAGGAAAGCAGAGGTCATGGCCACTTGACTGTCGCACTGAGAACAAGGGCACTGCTGCAAACCAGGGTCAGCTCCAGGCAAATGCCCACTGTCGGGGAGCCGCTCCTAGTTCCTCCCGTTCTTCATCAGACATTTGATCAGGCAACAGGAAGTGATACAACTGACCTGTCTTGCCTTTTTCAAACTCCCTAGTATGCTCATGGAATGAATCAGACAGTGTCCTTCCCAATTCCCACGAACCCAGGGTAGAAAATCACCCTGAGACTAGAGGGATAGAGTGAGCGAGTGGGTGGGAAATAAGACAAAAACTCAAGGCTTACAAGGGACCCTCTATACTTAGCCATCTATCAGGGCTTTTCATCAGCATTCTGACCACAGAAGCCTTGAAAGGTTTGCAGAGCAATTATTACAGGGTTAAAGTTTCTCTCTACTTTAAAAAATTACAATCTTCAATTCTGTAGATTGCATATCTTAATCATTTAAAAAATAAAAATAACAAAAAACTTACAAAGGTCAGCGTTTAACAAGGTCTGAGCTATCTGTGAGATGTAATTTTCTTCCTTGGATTGGAGGAAAAAACTGTTCAGAAAACAATGTTTTGGCTGGGGAAAATGATAGAAAACCTTAAATATATTTTAGCATCTATAAAATCATATTTTCTTTTAAAAAAATCAAAAGGAGCAAGCATTCTAAGAAGAGGAAATAATATTAAATTTAAAATAATGAAAACTTGCTTTCAGCTCTCGACTTTTTAGGTACTCAGTAACAGTTAAATATACCATTGTCATCTATGTGAAGCTGCAGTGGTAACTGCTTTTAAAAAAGATTTTAGTTTTACTATTTTTAATTATGGATAGGGGTGTGTGTGTGTGTGTGTGTGTGTGTGTGTGTGTGTGTGTGAAGACTTACAACAAGTTGTGGCCATTTGGCTTTGCTAAGCAGAAGCTACTGGGGTGTAGAATGGTTGGTGTATTTCTGTTTTTCTCTCTCTAGTTTCCCGTAATTAGGACAAGCCTGGACAGTATGGGGCTGCTGTGAATCCCTGGTATTCCTGGGCAGCTCACATATACCCATAGGCCTGTGCTCCCCACATCAATGCAGCAAGGAAGGAATGCTACTACTATCTCCCAGTAGTACATGAGGTGGCCCCTCACCAGGCATCATTTGTTAGTGACAGCCTGAAGCACTGTATCTGACACTGGAATAGGAATCTTTATTGTGTCAACTGATCTACAAAGATGGGCTCCTCTAAACACCTGGGCCAAATCCTGGGTAGAGAGCCTGGTGAAGAGCTGTAACAGGTGATGACATCTCCCCAAGCCATCCAGAACTCCAGATGCAAGCAGCAATGAGACCTTCTGTTCTTGAGGTAGAAGACCAAGTGGATCAAGTGGTCCAGAAGAACAAGTTTCAGGTGTCCATACCCAGAGTACCAGGGTGGGAGTGAAGCCAGTCCAGGTCTAGTAGGACCTGTGGGCTTCCCAGTCACCCAGAAGCCCATAAACAGCAGTATTAGAATGAACT